CTGTTAATCTCAGATGAAGCTGCTGATGAAGGTTTTAGACAACACGACAGTCGCTATGCTAATCTTATCGCCTTGCCAGTTGCTTTCTAAATGAGTCGCTAGTATTTCTAGCTGCTTTGTAAGTAATGCTGCTAAGTTATTGCAGCCATTTTGAAGACGCTATTCGTGTTAGTGGAATCCTAAGTGCTACGTTGAGAATTAGCCGACCGCAAAAACCCCACCCCCGCGGCTAGGTATGATGTATATATGGCAATACATCTCTGCATGATCTGTCCGTTCTTTCCGGCTTCAGATGAAATGTATGATTCAGAGGCTGGGGCAAGTTATATTTGGTGGAAATATTCGATGAATTGTTCACCCCTGTCAAATAAAGTGCGAGCGAGGTCGCAGAATCTTGGCGTGTGACGGCCCGCGCCGAGCCGTTGACTAGATCGACATCCTTCAAAAGGAACCTGCCAAGTAATGGCATGATCTGAAGGCGAATTGTTCTTTTATTGGCTCGCATAACTACAAGAACAGCTTCTAGGTGACATTGCGGCTCTCGTTTTCTTCTACAGTTTCGCCTTGGCCGCGACAACAAGTGACCTTTCACGGATGCAGTTGAATTCACGACTTGACGGCCGTCTGGCATGCATCGCTTGCGAGGGTCATTCCCCAGCTGGCCATAATACTGCTGCGCATCCCGATCATGTTCAGCACCGCAGCAACAAGCGACCATAACATACCCACGGCACCAGGCGAAAGAGGCCGGAAACTTCATCGTGAACCTCCTGGGCCGTGCAAAGGATGCGGACGCAGACACGACGACAAGGGCTTGGCAACGGACTGGCGATACTGAAACAGATTGGTTGCGGCCTGGGGAAGACGCAGGACGATATGACGTAGATGCTGCTGTGGACGAGGGCCATGTTTGCGGATAAGAGGGAAGCGAAGGAGGTGGAGTCAGACTACATGAGCCCGAAACGAGCAACGCCAGCGCTGCCGGACCTGTAACAGTTGCGGCCGTCGCACAGGGGTGGCGGGAGAGGAGAGTAAAAGGTACGAAGGCACGGCGGCCGGGGACGTGGAGCTGATGTAGTTGCTTGATACGGCCATCAGGTTTTACGTTTGGTCCAATGATGTGGAAATTATTAGCATATCGTGTGACCATGCAGTGCACAACCTTTAGAGAGGCGGGGCTTGGACATACTTCTGGCCCACAAGCGTCTGACAATCCATCTCAACCTGCAGTAACTTCGATGTCTTGTCCAGGGTGACCGTTGAATAGCTCGCAGCCTCCAATTACCTGCCCATCAAGTGACTCGAATAGGCAGTAATGTCTCCTTGTTCCTCTCCAATGGTGGAGAGGGGGGAAGTTCAGCCCAGGTACCGTAGAATAGTCAGCACTTCGGTCCCGGGTCAACAGATTGAAGTCGCTCAGCACCACACTTGCTTATTAGAATGAGAAAAGCGCTATTAAGATTCGACCAAGACAACCGATCTAGGAGCTGCATTGAAAACTTCTTTTCCGAATCAAGAATTATAAAAGTTTCAGTGCACACCGCAAGAAAGACCGACTTGAAGTGGACCATTCATCACAGACAAACAAAGCTAGAATATGTTGAGAGAAAGGATAACAGACCGGGGAGAAGCAAAAAGTGGATATAAAATGGAAACTGTAGCCGCCAAACGCCATGCAACCGTTGACTAACATGAACATCCCTGATCCCGATCGCCAATGTTAATCGGGATTGTCTCTGGAAAGTCGGGGTTGAAGTCCTGGCTTTCGCCCTGTGCTAATGCGTTCCTTGCAATAACTACGGGTGTTAGTATACAGTCTTTCGCTTTGTCGTGGCAACTCACCTTCAAAGGCTTGATCGACATTTGTCGCCTCCTTCGCACTCGTCTCAAAGTAAGGTATACCGCCCTTTGCCTGACAAAACGCCGTTGCCCTCTTGTTGCTCACGACGCGCTTATCGCCGCCGACATCAACTTTGTTTCCTAGCACAACAAAAGGGAAGCTTTCTGGATCCATCGGACTAGCTTGGACCAGGAACTCATCCCTCCAGCTGTCCAGCGTGTCGAAGCTCTTTGCGTTGTTAACGTCGTACACAAGCACACAACAGTCCGCGCCACGATAGAAAGCAACACCAAGCGATTGGAACCGCTCCTGTCCCGCCGTATCCCACAACTGCAGCGTTACAAGCCGGTCGTCGACCAGGACCTCCTTTGTCAAGAAATCGGCGCCAATGGTGGCTTTGTACGAGGCAGAAAACTTCTTGTTGACGAATTGGTTCATCAGACTGGTCTTGCCGACACCAGAATCGCCCAGGATAATAACCTTGAGCAGAATCTTCTTGCGCGAGGCCATTGCAGTCAATGTTGTTGGTGATGATGAGGTCGGCCGTGACCGGGAGGGGTGAGGGGCTACGGAACGGCCCGGGGGAAATACGGTCCGGGCCGGCCACTATATTAGTTAGAATTCGCTCACACATCATCTAGCCCCCTCTTGCTCCATTCCCATTTCCAGAAGCTTATGCCGGGAAATGTTGCTACTACCCTCCCGGTGATTAATGCCAAAGGCAAGGGGCCATACATTCTCGAGTCACGGCTCCATGTGAGATTATCTCCTGTCACCCAGCAATGGCCTTCTGGAACCTGCAGCATTTTATTTCGGCTTGAATTGCCAACCACAAAATCCCCCGGCATCCCAATTACCCGCTTGAGCGCGTAGTCGCCTTCTCGCACGGGATGCTTGAACGTGACCAAGTCTCCAATACCTACTCCCCGTCCTCGTCGCTCATACTTGCTAATGACTAGTGCCTGTCCTTCGGGAGGGATAGTGGGCAGCATGGAAATTCCCCATGCCGGCTCGATGGAGTAGACGTATTCGATAAAGATGTGAGTCCCAGCCAGTACTGCCAGGGCAATCTGCCAGTTGATCAGGCTGGACTTGGATCGGATTGTAGCCAGTGTTCTTTTGAGCTTCAAGAGGAGATAGCGTTCCGGGGAAAGCGGTGGCTCTGGAGAAGATTCGGGTTCGAGTTCGGGCCTCCTCGGGCCTGGTCTAGAAATTCTTTGGTGGTGCTTTGGTTGAGGAGGCAAACGCGTCGAGTAGAGCCTTGACTGGCGAACGATGCGCCGCATAACGATTCCTTTGTCCGTACGATGACCGACGCGCGACGCACGGCCGTGTGATTTGTCACAAATTGCACGTGATGCCTCCCTTCAGGATCCGTCAAGCCGACCAAGACGCTAGTGTTTGCGACATTGGCCATGTAATGCCTCTGACATCTTTCAACGAGCTGCCGACACATGCATTAGGAGCGTCGACGTCAGATAGACGACGCTTCCGGGTGCGGTGGGTGGAGCGCAAGTGCTGCCACTTCCTGGCGCATTTCCCGCTTCTTATCGTCCATGGCCTTACGGCCTGGGCCATCTGGGTCCACCTGAACATTGTATTTCTCATGGAATCATCGCCATGGCACATTACCGAAGCTGTGGTCGGCTTCGCGCTGTATCTCCTGTCTAATGTCTCCTACGCTGTCGCCGTCTTTACCTCTCCCGGAAGCCCGCTGGATCCGCGATGCGACTGGAGCAAGACGTCGAGAGGAGGATATGAGGGTTTGCCAACGCACCAAGATGATGATGATGATGATGGCTACAAGACCGATGGTATGACGACGGTGACGGCCAAGAATAGCTCCGGCAGGCCGCGGTACTGCAACAAATGCCAGACTGTCAAGCCAGACAGAGCCCACCACTGTTCGTCATGCGGCCGCTGCGTCTTAAAGATGGACCACCACTGCCCCTGGCTAGCAACATGCGTCGGGCTGCGCAACTATAAGCCCTTCCTCCTCTTCCTCATTTACGTCAGCTGTTTTTGCTGGGTATGCCTTATCTCCTCAGGCTCCTGGATCTGGGGTGAGGTGGGTGAAGAAGTGCCAGCGGAACAAGGTATCAACGCTGTCAACGCCGTCATGTTGGCTGTCCTCGCACTCGTTATTGGCATAGCCTTAACGGGCTTCACAATCTGGCACATATACCTCGCACTCACCAATCAAACCACCATCGAATCACTTGAAAAAACTCGCTATCTGGCGCCATTCCACGAATCTTCTCTGCCGCATCAAGATTCCGATGATGTGCCGCTCGCGCAGCGTGTGAAGGAAATCCATGCAAACGTTATTCCCGGTGTAACTCGCCCGGAAGAAGGTGAAGCGTCTTCGCCCAGCCGTAGTCCCGCCGCGGATAGTCTCCAGCGTAGCTACGCATCTATGGAAGCGAGGCGCGATCGTGAGCGTTACCGTTCGTACCAAGACGAGCTCGACAGCGAGGCGTTGCCCAATGCCTTCGATCTCGGTTGGAAGCGGAATCTCCTGTCTATTTTCGGAGCGAAGCCGCTCTTTTGGGGTCTACCAGTCTGCAACACCCCAGGTGACGGCTGGTCGTGGCCTGTGAATCCGTCTTGGATTGAGCTTCGCGCAGAGTTGGCCCGCACACGCGCACAGCGCGAGCGGGAAGAAAACTTTTGGTCTTGGGCGGACAGCGACTCTCTCCGATCGTTTGCGGGTCCAAGGTCCCTAAGATGGACCCCCGGCAGGGGCTTTGTAGACGTTGCCGCTGCATCAGCTAAGCCGCCCAAGATGCAGGCTAGAATAGAACCGCATCCCATGGGCCCTAAACGCGAAGGGGCCGCCTCAAAATCCAACAAGAGGATTCAGGAGGAGAATTGGAATGATATTCCCGACAATATGCTTGTTCCTCCGGTAAGGGCCTCCTCGGCCAGGAGCCCGAGTCCGACTCGTTGGAAAGGCGATTAGAATAGGTAATGTAATCTTGATGGGTGATACTCTTTTATTCTTCTGGAATGCTCTGTACCTGTGGTAGATAGACAACGGGTCTTTTCTTTGTGCAGATGTCATTTGCTGTGCACGAAATGCAGATGAATTTTCGCCCGCGTCTCGCATTTTCTGATGCAAAAAAAAAAAAAAAAAAAAAAAAAAATAGAAAAAATATACTACGAGCGCCCGGGCTCGAACCGGGGGTCTTCTGTGCGCTGACAGGAATGAGCTTCAAGTGAACCCGAAGCCACCTCTGTTAGACAGATGTGGTAACCAACTGCACCACGCTCGCTAGTTATATTATTACGACAACGTAAAGCAAATTCATACATCGTGCGCACGCGGTAAAACTTTCAAGATAATGCTTTGCGACTCAACAAACAACCTCATCGCTTTACTGGTTCAGATCAGATGCGAAGACGCGCAATCGAATCATCCCATAACCATAAAGACCAGATTCGTATACGTCTAGAGGAAAATCCTATCAAGAGACCAAGTACATCAACCGCATTCGCACTCATTGCCTTCCGACCAGCTTCAGCCAAAATAGCCAATGAGTGTACGCTGGAACATCCACTTCCCTCAAGGGAAATAAAGAGGCCCTTGTCTCAGCTTAAACTTAAGATGAGACCGAAACTTATGCAGTCTCGCTGCCAGTAACGGCGCATCACTCAAAGCTCAGTTCACAGAAGTAGATTTATTCAAGGTCAGCACGCATGCAGGTGTAACTTCTTCCCCTGAACTTGGGCACGGCAGGCGCAGAGCAGCGAAAATTTGTACATTCGCCTCGAATCTGTGTGCTGACTGATTTCAGTTGATTGGACGCACTGTCCCAAAAGCTTGCACTCGTGCAGGTGAATGTCCACTTGCTGTAAGATAAACACTCCACCAAGCGTCACTTTCAGTTTTTATGCGTTGCCCAGTGACGCCTTCAGCATAACATGAGCGCAGCTGTCTTTTGACAACATCCGTAACATGGACACTGAAATAACCGACCCCGACACGCTCATGTCATCTCCGCCGTACTCCCGCTCTGAGGGCCCGACGTCCGACCCATCTTTGCCTGAGTTCGCGTCGCCCGAGTCTCCTTTTCGTCCGCTTTCATTGGAATCGCCGGCTTCGACGTATGCGCCCTCGCCCGCCGTGCAATTGTTTCTTAATGACACTGCAGCCTGGGATGCGTTGGAGCACCAAGGATACCCTTCAGGGGATAGCGTTTATGACACCTCGTCCGATTCGTCGGTCAGTTCTTCCGAAGATGACTACGTTCATGAATATGCGGCGGAGCTCATGGAAAAGGTACCGCGTCCGACCAGGACCCTATGGGAGTAAGTCATCTTGAGTGTGTCTCGTTCATACTAATGTAGTCGTGGAGTTCGCATAACCACTGGATCTTTGACCTCTTTCGGGTGCCAGGCTCCCCACATGGAGTGTTCATATATGTCATGCACGCCGACTTTGAGCGGGCTCTCCGCGGCGGGCCGGCCAAGGTTAAGGCCCATTGGTCGGAAGAAAGAAAGGCCAAGGAGTATGCGCAGTTGCTTATGGAGGCTTTTGTCGTACAGCGCACGTGTCCGCAGCCGGGGCTTGGGCATTTGCTGCCAATGAATATCAACAAGATCGCTCCCTGGACCTGGGCCACTTCGAATGAAAGGCTTGCCTCCGCCATCAGAGGTCAAATCGAAACAACCTGTCTTGCACCGGAGCTGAAGGTCATTGGTCGCCCTTCTGTGATCCAAGCAGCTTTCTTTAACGATGCATGGAACACGATCAAACATGCGCTGACCACAGCTGTGCCCACAGAGGGGTTTCCCGCAACCGAGTGCTATGTCTGCACGCGCGGAGCCAAATATTTCCGCCTCAAAACATGTGCCCGTTGCTTGGAGGTGTTTTATTGCTCGAAAGTCTGTCAGACATGGCATTGGGCTGCTCACAGAGCCACTTGCTCTAACGTCCCGGCCATGAAAGATGCGGTGATGCAGGTCACCACAATTGCGCCTCAGCAGCTTGTTCCGCAAGAGCTTACGTCGTGGCTGAACTTTGATATGCTGGCGAATGCAGAGCGAGTGGGCTCAGTGGACTTTGTTCGATTCTTGTAAGACCCACCCTTACAAAAGGCATCCTCAGCTGACACCACAGTATAGCTACCCGTTGATTCGCCGCCTGGTGGTTACTGGCCATGACACGACCGACAACATGATAATGCTGTTTGGCAGGTCGTGGCGTGAGGCAATCGGGCCTATTTGGAGCGACGTCCGCTTGCGAGCCTTGCTCAAGGCGCCTGCTTTCTCGGTTGAAGCTTTGCAACAAGCCATCATGGATTCCGGTACACCTCGTGACGCTCCTCGTCCGCCAACAAAGCAGGAACGATCGAGAATGCGCTTCGTTCTGGAAACGGAAGACTTTCTGCGTAAACTCTTGGATGGGCGGAGAATTGTCGAAAGAGACGACTTGGTAGCGATGATGTTGCAATGGACCACTATCACGTGGCCTCGATGCCTTCATGCTTTGAACATAGCGCTGCTGCGTATGTGTCCTGGTGAGATCGATCTTCCGGATGACATGCTGGCGATCAACGACTGCCGTTCAAGGGGATTCGCGTCAACTTAAGCCAGAAGTGATCGAAGGGGTGGGTTTACTGCGGGGAGTAGCAGGCGTTTGTTGCATACTGGCGGTATACTGGTAGACACTCCGTAGCAATTCCTCTGCCTGAGATGAATCCTGGTTCCCCTTGTCCACTCCAATTAGGTTGGGATGTGCAGCGGAACGTCTCCGCCCCATGCAACCACGCAATCTGCTTCAACGGCATGCTATACCAGTATCTTCTGCTATAAAGCTCAGATACCTCCCTTTTGCATATTATCTATGACATGATAATATACCCCATTCTAGCCGACATCTAGCTCGTTATGTATGCCACCCTCGCGGCCAACTGAATGCGGAAAGCAATGGACAACATTCATTGCCACTATAGCTAGCAGGTGAAGAACTGAAAGAAAAGCGCAACCAAGCGCTCCAATTTAAACCTATAGTATACAGTACATAGTCCATTGCGAAACCCAGAGAACTGCCCGCCTACCGCTTGACCAAACACCAATTTCCAATCCCGACCCGTCCCGACCCAGCACTCTTAACGAAACCAGGCCACTGAACGAATTGAAATGCCTCAATTCTCCTTCCCTTGCTCCCCTTCGCCCGTCTTCTCCTGCCCGGCCTTGATTTGAATCTCCAAGGTGTCCAATCTCCGGGACATATCATCAACTAAGTCACGCCATCAATATCTACGCAAGGGGAAACAAAAGGGGCAGAATCATACTCTTCCCCAAGATCTCTCCAGACAACCGACCAAACTTAACGGTGAGGTGGTTCAGCAAATCATCGATTTGGGAGGACAGCTCCGACTGCTCTGTTGCTGCATCGGGAAGAGGATCCTTGGCTTTGGCTTCTGTAGGTTGTACGCTTGATTGCGTTGGCGTCTGGGCATCCTTGTGTGAATAGCTCGTTCTTGGACCATTGGATTTGCATGGGGTTTCGAACCTTGAGGTGTTCATCTTCTGCGGCAGAGGAATCGTTCAAATTCAGCTGGTCGACTTTTGCGGAGGCGGAGAGAGCCACTGCCATGTTTCAGACTGGGGTTGGTAGTGGTCTGTAAACACAACATGCACGGGTATGGCAACCGGTTATTCTTCGGCTAAATATTGCGGAGAGGAAGATGGATACGACTGCAGATGGAAAGCAGGGACGGATATGGGCTGACATAGGCGTACGATGGGAGAGGGATCTACGCAAAATGCAGGAAAGCAGAATATGGAGGGTAAGTCTTACGAAGAGCTTGAGCTTGAAGGGGGGATCGAGTGTGGCCCATTCAATAGTAGATGTGATGGTCTAAAACCACCACTTCCATTCCTCTCATGCTCACCCACAAATTATTCAGTCTCACTGCCCAGTTCTGCTTTCGTCAGGTGAAGTCGTCGTCCCCACTATGTATTAGCGGGTCTTTCGAGGTTGACTTCGCCCCCTTCACTTAGAGATCCTGGAGCAAGCCTGTTATCCGGAGCATGTCATAGCAGCAACTATAACGAAATTGCAAATCACCTTGACACTGACCTTCGCTGAAATGTGATCAGTATCTAGCGTCGGATCGGCTCTTCCTCGGCTGCCCGCGAGTCATTTGACACTTGCACTTCGACAAAAAAAAGTGAGAGCCACTTTGATTTAACGACATCGCAACATGGCAAAAGGAAGCAAGCTAAAGGCCGCATTAGACCGCCATCGCGGGGTTCACTATGAGCTTCAGCGTCAGAAGAAGCTGCAGAAGCAAGCACGAAAGCGCAAGCGCGCCACCGACGAGGAAAAGCCCGATCGCGTTGCAGAGGAATTGGCGGCGGACGTCGCTGAGGCTGACGAGTCAGCAGACGGCTGGCAATCGGACGAAGAGGATAATGAGGAAGGGAGTGTGGCTATGGTAGATGGATCGTCCAGCTCCGAAGAGGACGAGGGCGACGAAACATTCTACACCGCATTCGGAGGCTCGCCGGAGAAACAACTCAATGTATATGGTGGTGCCTGCCAAGGGCAAAAGGACGACGAAGACGACGAGGATGATGAAGATGCGGAGGGAGGCATTCCCCTTTCCGATCTTGAATCTCTCGCCTCTGAAGATCGCGACGACCTCATCCCCCATCAGAGGCTGACAATAAACAACACAGCCGCCCTACAGCGCTGTCTCAAATCCTTCGCCTTACCCTCTTCCCTACCCTTTTCGGCTATGCAGGTCGTAATGTCCTCAGAACCGGTGACTATCAACGATGTAAACGATGACGGCGAACGAGAAAAAGTCATTACAGCACAGGCACAATATGCCGCCAATTACGGACGCGCAAGGCTCAAGGCTGAAGGCGTTCCTTTCACGCGGCCGAGCGACTACTTTGCGGAAATGGTCAAGACCGAAGCACAAATGGGTAAGATCAAGGACAAGATGCGCGAAGATGCGGCCAGGAAACAAGCTAGCATAGATGCGCGAAAGCAAAGAGATCTGAAGAAGTTTGGCAAGGCAACCCAAGTGAGCAAACTGCAGGAGAGAGCACGCGAGAAGAAGGAAACGTTGGAAAAGGTCAAGAGCCTTAAGAGGAGTAAGTGCTACAGGCTGAGGATGAATCTTCCCTGCTAACCACGTGTGTCTACAGAGCGCCAAGGTGCAGATCTCACAACGAACGAAGAGGAGCTCTTTGATGTCGCGCTGGAGGATGCAGCCGAGACTCAGATAAAGAATCGTGAAGAGCGTAGAGGTAA